TGAGACAAGAGATTGAGTCCCAAATCGGAGACCGAATGCCAACACATGAGGACAGGAATCGATGCCATTATGTCATGGCTTTCATCGCAGAGACCATGAGATTCAGAAATGTTGTGCCCACTGGAGTTCCGCATAAAACTCTTGTTAATACCAAACTTGGTATTTTTTAACTAATATTTGTCAATTAAATTATAAGATTATAATATTATATCTAAATTCTAGATAAATACACAATACCTGAAAATACAGCAGTCGTGGTATATCAGGGAATCATATGCCGTAATGACAAGGATTGGCAAAATGCCGATAAATTTACACCCGAGAGGTTTATTGATAGTGAGGGACAGTTCATCACAACCCGTCCCAAAGCATTCATACCCTTCGGTGTGGGCCGTCGGGTCTGTGCGGGAGAAAAATTAGCCATCGCTGACTTATTCCTGGTTTTGGTCCGATTTCTTCAGTCCACACAAGACTACGATATAGTGCTCGACAGTAACGGCGGTATTGACTATAACCCTAATATTCCGGAACACTTGAGTCCTCCACCATATAGCATTAAATTAATAAAATTGTAATATTGTGGTGATTATTTTATCATCATTCTTAAAATTATTACATATATTTTTTAATGATGATATAGTACAATTAATTAAACAAATAAAATAAGATGTAGTTAAAATTAAATCTTTATTAAAATAATTTATTATTAAACTTACTTTATTTATCATTACTTCATACTGTTTATGTTTAATCTTTATCAATATTTCAAATTAAAATCTACCCCGCTCATGTACGGCAACATTGTAAACATATCAGGTTCGGGTCTTTCGAGATCAGTCTTTTCGGTCATTATCACCCGATTTGAATGATTTGAACCATTCATGGCATTCAGTGATAACCAGTACAGCAATGAAGACTGAAATACTATTCTTGTGATCCTCGAAGGCATTCACAGACAATGCCCGACGTATTCACTATCACTTCCAATTGCATATCATTTATTAAGATAATTTTGAACATTTTCCACATAAAATGTACACAAATAATGAATTTATGAAATAGCGATCAATTTGATTAATATTAACAAAATGTTTTGGCAACACTGCAAATGCTAATCATATGAGTAATATTATGTATATTGTTAAGGCTTTTTTAATGTTAAGTTTATGGGATTTGTTAAGCATTACCAGAATTGTGTATAAGTATAACATGTGAACCTTGTTTAATCGTCTATTTAATTACTATATAAATTTTATTAACAAATAATAATAATAATAAATTATTTTTAAAATGAAAATATAGTGATTATATTTATTATTAGAATTAAAATATTTAAAATACAACTTTATAAATTGAATTTCCAACGTGGTGAATTATGAAAATAGAATTACGGATACAATATAAGATTTATAGAAAACATAAATAAGCATATAAATATTATAATTTATAAATATATATTAAGTACAGTATATTCTGTCCTTCATGTACTAAGTGTTATATATTGTGTTATTATTCATCACGTTTAACAATTTTATTATATAAGATGACTAAGATCACCAAGGTGACAAAGAATATATATATATAGTTGTGTTTGTCTTAAAAATACTTATTTAGATTTGTTAGTTATATTAGATTGTATCTAGCTAAATCAATAGATTTAGCTGATAACTATTTTGGCTTTATAAATCATACTTGTTTTATATTAATTAAATTTTGTTTAATAAAAACTTCTTGATTCTATAAACTCTTACATTAACTTAATATAGATACTTTATCATGAGTAAAATTTTCAGTACAAATCTAGATAAAAAATGTTTAACTTTTTTATAAATATATAAAAAGCCCTATAGTTTTAATATTGTGTACAGCAACAATATTATTAACTAGCTCTTTTTAAAAGAATATTATTTATATATAAATCTGTAATTAAATAATTTATATTAATATGCTTTTATTAATAAATTTAATGTCATTTTTGGTTATAAACATTCGCACGTCTATAATAACGCTAATAATTAGTTATATTGCTTATAAATTAGCAAGATTTTATGAATTAAGATCTAGACTACCTCCCGGTCCGCATCCGCTACCGCTTTTGGGCAATATATTGTGTAAGTAATACACATTAATAACTGTGAAATGATGGTTGATTAATAAATTTTTAATTTTTTGCAAACAGTATTCAAATCTAAAGATCATTGGGATGTTGTGCTCCGACAAGTAGCCAAACAATACGGCCCGGTATTCACCTTCTGGTTCGGGACAAGACCTCAAGTGATGATAACTGACATCGATTTGGGTCGGGAGGCCTTCAGGAAAAACGATATGGCCGGTCGTCCCCGAACTCATTTCTGTAAGTATTAATTAATACTCTTTTAAGCAACTGTTTTGAAATATTTTTCTATAAATGGCACTTTTGTCGCGCAATTGTCCGTTGATTATAGAGAAGTTGCACTGTTTATAAATAATTAAATATTTTAATAATTGTTATGTATTTTTTATGTATAAAATTTAATTATACAAATAGCATCTAATATGTCAAACGAGAAATGTCAAGACGTGGTCTCTACTGATTACGGGCCTCAATGGGAGGCATTGAGACGAGTGGCACATTCGGCCGTACAGTATGTCATATATGAATAGAAAATTTATAATAAAAAAGTTATTACATTTAGTATTTTTCAAAATGATAGGAAATATTCAGTAAATGATAGACTGGTTTCTGTGGCCACCGATTGTGTCGACAAAACAATTAAAACGATTTTAGATAAGGAAGGAGTGGACAAACCTTTTTTACCAATTGATTACATTTATTTAATGTTTTTAAATATTTTAGCCACGAGTACTTTCGGAGAGAGGTAAGTGAATTTCCCCTCTAAATATATTATATTAGATTATTGAACATAATTTTCCAACATTAAGTTATGACTTGGAAAACAAGGAATTTCAACATTTAAAATATTTTTTACGTGATTTTGGTCGGGAATCGGCTTCTATTGTGGGATACCTCAGCTATAATCAGATTTATTGACAGAAAATTGGTTACAAAACATAAGCGTTTATTCGCGGAAACAATTGATATCGTTAAAGGAAAATATATCAAACATTACGACGACTATAATGAGTCAATTGAGAGAGACTTTTGCGATGCACTCATCAGTGCTAAGAATGACGCCCTCAGAGACGGCAAAGAGTCGGCCCCTTATCTCACGGATACCAACCTTTCAATGGCTATCTTTGACATATTCCTCGCCGGAACCGATACNACTATAATGAGTCAATTGAGAGAGACTTTTGCGATGCACTCATCAGTGCTAAGAATGACGCCCTCAGAGACGGCAAAGAGTCGGCCCCTTATCTCACGGATACCAACCTTTCAATGGCTATCTTTGACATATTCCTCGCCGGAACCGATACCTCTCAGCACACATTTCAATGGATAGTACTTCTGATGTCATACTATCCGGAAATGCAGCAGAAGTTGAGACAAGAGATTGAGTCCCAAATCGGAGACCGAATGCCAACACATGAGGACAGGAATCGATGCCATTATGTCATGGCTTTCATCGCTGAGACACTGAGATTCAGAAATGTTGTGCCCACTGGACTTCCTCATAAAACTCTTGTTGATACAAAACTTGGTAAAAAATTATAACATAATCATAATTAACTAATATATAATAATTTAATTTAATTATATTAACAATTTTATATTTAACTTTAGATAAATACACAATACCTAAAAATATGTCAGTCTTTGTATACCAGAGTATCATATGTCGTAATGATAAGGATTGGCAAAATTCTGATGAATTCAAACCCGAGAGGTTTATTGATAGTGAGGGACAGTTCATCACAACCCGTCCCAAAGCGTTCATACCCTTCGGTGTGGGCCGTCGGGTCTGTTTGGGTGAGAAATTAGCCATCGCTGACCTGTTCCTGGTTTTGGTCCGATTTCTTCAGTCCACACAAGACTACGATATAGTGCTCGACAGTAACGGCGGTATAGAATATAATCCAAATACTGCGGAAAACTTGGGTCCTTCAGAATATAGAATCAAATTAATTAAATTGTAATATTATGTACATTATTGAACAAATAAAACTAATCCTATAAGTAATATTAAGTCTATGTGTAAGGCTTTTCTATAAGCTAATGGTTAATCTATGGGATTCGTTGAACATTACCAGAATTGTGGTTAATCTATAGATATAACGTGTGAACCTTGTTTAACCGTCTATTTAATTATTATATAAATTATATTAACAAATAATCATTAGATAAAATTACTTTTATAATGTAAACATATTTAGTATTTTTATTATTAGAACTATGGTATTTTGAATTGAATTTCCAACTTGGTGCATTATGAGAATAGAATTACTGATAACAGTATACGATTTCTATAAAACATAAATAACATAAAAATATTATCATTTTATCATGTTTTCTATGTACTGGAATTATTAATTACAGTGTATGTGCACTGAATGTTATATAATGTGTTATATAAAATAGCTTTATTGTTATTATTCATCACGTTAAACAATTTTATTATATAAAATGATCATGTTTATCTTGAAACACAGAATATATAAAGTTATATTTGTCTTTAAATTATTTATATAGATTTATTAGCTATATTAGATTGAATCAAGTATAATTAATTGATTTAGCTGATTAGTAGTTTGGTTTAATACATCATACTTGTTTCATATTAATTAAATTTTGTGTAATAAAGACAAGTAAATCACAAGTAATATTTTTAGTACAAATCTAGATAATATCTAGAAAAATATGAAACTACAATTCGCGTTATTCGATAGAAATAAAAGATGTATTGTCACTTGGTTATAAAATTAAACAATAATCATGTAATCAACAATTTCATTTAAATCACAAATGTGTAATAAAACTGCAATAATAATAAAATACTTATTTTACAATAAACTATTATTTGGCAGAGACTGAAAGGTCGGATAAAACTTTTATATATACGGCAAGTATTTTTATACGATTTAGTGATAATAATGTGCTATTAGAAAGTTTTTTGACCAGAATGGAATTGAGATAAAATAAGTATGGTTATTCACTTACCATATCTTTACTAAATTATGATTGTCATAAATTTTGTGAAATAATTATAAGTACAAGTATAAGTATAAACACATCAGCTCATTTATTACTTTGTTTAAATATTAAATATTTTTATTTACAAAATTTTATACTGTAGATTTATTACATCTTGGTTAAATAACTAAAACGCAATGAAAGAGTGTAACAAAATGAAATAATTAAATAAATAGGATGTTAAACAAAGTATTAATACTATTTGGTAAACCTTTGTAAACGGATTTTATTTTTGTGTATAAATACAGTGTTTTTTCACAGACATAAACAATTAATTTCTCGACTAAAATCTCTAAAACCTATGGTAAGTTTTCTTGCAAAAAGTGAGCCATAGATATTAAATTTAATTAAATTTCTATTACTAGATGATTGTTACAAGCATTTTTTAAAAATCAAAACTCAAAATGAATGGTAAAGTGATATCAATCGTTGTAATGATGGGACTGTTGGCCACAGTTTGCGTGAGTCTACCCACTGTTAACCTACCGGAGCAACAATTTTACCATCACATCAATGGCAGCACATGTTATGGGGAACAACACAAGCCATCGGTTGACCAAAGTTATTATGGTGGATGTTGGCGGGTATGCGTTCAGGGCAAAGGCGGTTTAGTGTGCTATACTAAATGTAATTGAATTAAAACTGTTTATAATAATCTTTGACTAAATAGTTTAACAATATTTTAAACATAAACTATGTAATAATTTACTAAATTTATAATAGTTTTACTCTATTTTAAATGCAATTCTTTAAATAAGAAAAATAAACATTTTATTGAATTAAAATACAAGTTTACAAGTATATTGATGAATTAATGTTAATTTAAAGTTATAAAATATTTTTTAACCTCTAGTAGTCTGTCGTGATTTTTGAACGAGTTTAATTTGGTATGGTTTGGGATTTATAGTATCGGCAATGTTAGGGTCGGGGTCTATACCCGAGTGTTGGGCCAAAACTATATCGTATTGTTGTGTCGATTGAAGAAATGAGACCAAAACGAGGAACAGGTCAGCGATGGCTAACTTCTCTCCCAAACAGACCCGACGGCCCACACCGAAGGGGATGAATGCTTTATTATGAGATGTCATGTATTGGCCATCACTGCCTAGAAATCGCTCCGGTATTAACTTATTAGGATTTTCCCAATATTTTGGATTGTTTAGTATATTGTGATGATATAAAGTGACGGCCGTATCCTTTGGCACTGTATAATCACCTATAGTTTAAAAGAGTATTGATTAGTATTAAGTTGAGATTAAATAAAATGAAGATTAATACCTATTTTTGTTTGGACAACAGTTTTATGCAATGGACTCATGGGAACCACATTCCGGAATCTCATAGACTCTGCGATGAAAGCCATGACATAATGGCATCGATTCCTGTCCTCATGTGTTGGCATTCGGTCTCCGATTTGGGACTCAATCTCTTGTCTCAACTTTTGCTGCATTTCCGGATAATAGCAGAGGAATAACAAAAGCCATTGAAATGTCTGCTGAGAGGTATCGGTTCCGGCGAAGAACAGATCAAATATAGTTAGCGCTAAGTTATCGTCCGTGAGATAAGGGGCCGACTCTTTGCCGTCTCTGAGGGCGTCATTCTTAGCACTGATGAGTGCATCGCAAAAGTCTCGTTGAGACGACTCGTCAAAGTCCTCGTAGTGTTTGACAAACTTATTCTTCAACATATCTACCATTTCATTCATAATCCTTTCCTGTTTGTCAGCCATGCCTTTGAACGCATACCGGGCCACTGGAAGCACTTGTAAAATCATAAACTTCATACTATTTTCACGTATAAAATCTTTCATAACATATTTGAGTTGTTTATACTCTTTGTTATTCATTTCGTAACTAAAATTTTAAAAAAAAATTTTTAAATATAATAAAACAATTAAAATTAAACTTTAATTAATTGCAAACCTTTTGCCGAAAGCACTGGTGGACAGGATATTGAAAAACATTTGATAGATATAATTAGTGGCGACGAATGGCTTATTGAGTCCCTCGTTGTCGACCATCAACTTTACCGTCTGCTCCACACAATCCTTCGCAAGTAATACTAGTTTATCGCTCGCAGAGTATTTCCTAATCATCACATTTACCATCAGTCAAATTAACATCAATTATGGACAAATGAAAAATAATAAAACACTTACTGAACGGCTGAATGTCCGACACGTCTGAGCGCTTCCCATGTATGGCCGTAATCGGCGCCCACTATATCTGATCGGTTCCCATTGTTTATTATTTTAACTATAAATAAAAATATATAATACAATTTTATGGTAATTCAACAATCAAAAGCATTACGATTGCTATAAAATCACCATGGTCATACTACTTACAAAAATAGATTTGCCACCTACTAGCCACATCATTTTTACGAAACAACTCTTTTCCCAAATCGATGTCATTAATGACCACAATTGGATCGCCGGACAACCAGAAGGTAAATATATTCCCATATTTATGGGTATATTTATTAAACTCGTCAGTCCAGTGGTCTTTAGTTCCTTTTAGATCTGTTGGTCGAAATTTATTCAAATTAAATTAAACATGATTGATTATTTATAATAATTCATTATTAATCACTTACGAAAAATACTGCCGAGAAGGGGCACCGGTATGGGTCCGGGCGGCAGTTGATACACACGAGTATAAAATTTGGCCAATTTATACACAATATATCCAATTATTATGGATATAATGGCTGTGCGAATGTCCACCGAAATCATATGCAATAGACTCGTTAGGATTGACATTATATTTAGTTTGGGACACAAAGTGGTAAAAGTAAATATTTAATTGAATCTCTTTAATAGATTTATTGAGATTTAAATAATGAATATGAATGAAAACTTGCTTTATATTTATAGCTTGAAAAAGTATGATTGCATAATATAGAAACATTTAATACTGTGACTGATTAGATAAAATACTTATACCATATGCTATGGGGCATGATGTCCTAGGTGCACTTGGTAAAATGCACCTACATGATATAGTGATACGGAACAAAGTATTACACTAAGTAAGATTAAATAAACAAATATGTTATGTATGCAAAATAATTTGACCATGCCCTTTCTGTACCGATTATGATAAGGATAATCAGTGGTGATATTAATGTACGTTTTATAAATAACTTAATTATTTGAATTTCGTGCTGAATATCACGTATTTTGTGCTGAATATGTTAGATAAGTTAAATTGTTATCAGATTTTTAATTTGCTTAAAATTTAGTTTAAGATTATGCCTAAATTTTATCTAAATTTACCACTTTGTTTAATGAAATAAGGTAGCAATAAACACACATTTCAATGACAAATCATTATTAGGATTAGAAAACCAGTTTTAAAGCCGTTGAAAAATTTGTTTTTCAATATCTTTTATCAAACTTAATTCAAACAACAGGTGGACAACACGTGTTTTATTGTATCAATTGTTTATTTGAAGTATTTTTATTTTGTTCAAAAGTCCTTTAAATAAATTTAGTAATTTATAATTTTTATTAAACAATTATAAAATGAGTGTTTCGTTGATTGAAATGAAAAGTAAATTAAATGCAATGAAGAGTTTGTGTGAAATAATAG